ATCATGAAGCTCTGTTTTTGTATGTGTGATCCAGTCCTGGTGCTTGAACTCAGGGCCTGGGTGCTTCTCCTAAGCATTGTTAATCAAGACTAGAAATCTACCACTTGAGCTTTACTTCCAACTTTTGGGAAGTTCTTTGGAGATAAGAGTCTCATGAACTTTCCTGTCCAGGATGACCTCAAATCTCGATCCTCCACGTCAGCTAGCCACCAACATGCCCTGATCATGAAGCTTTGCATTCAACTTTCTCATGTCATGAGCTATTATTCTTTTTTATGTTTTTTTTTTTCAACCATTTGGTCTTGGCTCATGGTAGGCAAATGGACTGTAGTTTGCTAACCCCTGGTTTAGACAACTTGTGGCCAAAAGTGCCTAATGCTTTTTTTCAGAGGATTCCAGAGGAATCAAAATGATCCTTGGGCTTTTACACTAGAAACTCATTTCCAAGCAGATCTTTGTTACACGCTTAGAAACTGTTAGCTTGAGTTATTCAAGCTAAGTGAGTCTAACAAAGGCTGTTCTTGGCTCTTGGTTTTCTCCGTGGGTGTCCCTCCTTTCTCTCTGAATCATTTCAGGGATGAGGATGCCAGATTAATGACAGCCTCTGGATTAGAAGCAAGGACAAAGATCACAGAGTGATGATGAGCCATGCGCTAGATTGGAAATGAATTCTATAGGAATAAGTCCTGATGACACTATCAACTTTTTTTCCTCCTGTACTGTGGTTTGACCTCTGACCTCAAGCTTATTTGGCAGGCCACGCCTACTTCCATTGGAGCCCCCCCCCCAACCATCTTGTTGTAATTATTTTTCAGACTAAGTCTTGTGCTTTTGTCCAGATTAGCTTTGGTCTGCCATCATCTTAACTACATGCACTCATTAGAAGTCCCGTTCCTAACACAGAGGGACTGTCTAGTCCTCTATAATTCTAGTCTATAGCAGAATGCTTCTCCCCTACAGATCTCCTCAGATAAATCAATTCCTTCTTCTTATAACTCAGTTGAAAGACACAAATGCATGGACTAAACTATAGGACCATACTTCCAACAAAACACTTCGGACAGTTTTGGGCTCCTAAGCAGCATTGGGAAAATACTGAGTTCTGCCTTTTGGGGGGCAGGTATGGGAGAAGGGTAGTTTTGGTGAGGCAGGTGTCCCTTTCTAGCTAAGACGGGTCTTCCAAATGCTGGGATTATAGGAATGTGGCACCATGCCTGGCCTTTGTACCATTTTTCTTGCCTTCATGTTACAAAGCAGTAGAAAGAGGGATCTAAGAAGGAGAATTTCTTTTCTTCTTTGGGACTTATTATATGAGTTCTATGCCCTCAGTGTATCTTTTCTTACTATATTTAAAATATGACATGTTTAGAACATCCCTCCTCTCTCCCCCATAGGTGCTTCTGTGGAGTTAGAAAGGTTTTTGGTGCAATCCAATTCTAGAATAGCCCAGAAGTCTTCTCCAGGAATTTATTAATTTATTGCCAGTCCTGGGGCTTGAACTCAGGGCCTGGGTACTGTCCCTGAGCTGCTTTTGCTCAAGGCTAGCACTCTACCAATTGAGCCACAGTGCCATTTCTGGCTTTTTCTGTATATTTGGTACTGAGGAATTGAACCCAGTACTTCATGCACACTAAGCAATCACTGTACCACTAAGCCACATTCCCAGCCCCTTCTCCAGGAATTTAGAATATCTAAGAAGGTTTTGATTGACATGACGGACCTGTAGTACAAAAAGATAAAGTATATCAGTGTATGCACACACACAACACATGCTTGTACATACATGCACACATATACACACACAGACATGCATTCACAGCCACCATTCTGTACCAGTAGAGAATTTGACTGCAAATCAAAAATACTCAGGACAAGACTAGCTGTACATACGTTTCTCCTTGCCATTTCTAAACACTACAGTGTAGCAAATATTTAAATAGCACTTACCTTCTATTAGGTATACTCTATTAGATATACTTACCTTCTGCTAGGTATATAAGATCATTTAACGTGTATAAGATGTACTTGGGCTACGTGTCAATATGCTAAACTAGTTTCCATGAAGGACTTGGGCATCCTTGGGTTTTGGTACTCATGTAACAGGAAGTCCTGGAGCCCGTCCCTGGCAGGTTCCGTGGGGTGACTGGACAGTTAGAAACTCTGCAGCATGACGAAGACAAAAATCATCTGTGACATTTCCCTTGCTTCAAGAAGCTCAGCCTTACTGGGGTCATGACAGGCTGCTCAAAGTCCTGTCACAGTGGCTACAGCAATGTTTATCCAATACAAGTTGCGGAAGTATAGTTTTCAGCTTCGTGGCTTTGTGGGACTTTTTTTTTTTTTTTTAAAGCAAGAGCATCGCTGTTGTTTCTTTCTAATCCCCCAGGAACATCTTCTGTGCATCACTACCTCTAGCTCCCATCCACCTTGAGGAGTTCCCAACATTTGTTAGTTTGCTTTTCAGGCCAGGGTTGAGTGAGGGTTTAGACTTCAGCTTGTATGTAGAGAATGTTTTACCATATTAACAATGACTGTCTAGGTTGTTTGAGCCTTAGGCCCATGTTTTGCTTGCTCATGGAGTCTTGTGTAGACAATCACAAAGCGGCTCGAATGGTTGATTTGATTTTACTGTTCTCTCTCATGAGCACAGGTGAAGACAGTAAGGGGGTTGAAGAAAAGAGAAAATTACCCCATGACTTAGATGTCTCCTGCTGGACAGCTCCCAGGCTCTGCAGCTTCTTGCTGGCAGATTCCAGGAAGGCTGGAACAGGAGTGAATATATATATTCATTCCTCACATCTTCCAAAGGCGTGTTTGGAGAGTTCTGGGGAAATGGGAGCCTGTGTGCCCAATGTCTACAAGCAGCTGCTTTTAGTTGTGCTTGCAAAGGTGTGAAGAGTAGGCAGGCAGTTCCAGAGCGGGGTGTAGACAGACACAAGAGAGCAATTAAGGTTCTTATCTGAACCGGCTTGTTCTGTTTTTTTTTGTTTTTTTTTGTGGGGTTTTTGTGTGTGTGTGTTGTTTTTGCTTGTATATGTACTTTCCATAGCAGGGCACAGGTCCTGGCCTTGTCTTCACCTTGGTCAGGATTGGGACCCTTAATGCTGGCCTCAGCATATCTTGCAGGGAGAGTTTAGCCACATGCGAAATGAATACAACAGGATCTTCCTTGTAGCCCGGGCTGGCCTTGAATTCTATTTCTGTTTCAGCCTCCAGAGTGCCCGGCTTGCCAACGTGCATCACCATGGTTCTGCTTTCTCGTTGTGTGATCCCGAGCAAGTCAATCTGACCATCCAAGTCTCCATTTTCTCATGCGTAAAATATAGGTCATTCTCTCCAGAGTATCCTGTGAGAATGCGGAGAGATAATGCACGGAAAGCTCTTAGTGCTCTCTGTGGCTAATTTTTTTTTCATAATGCTATTTCTTTTGTGGGAAGGAGTGTGGAATGGATTGGGATTGTTTCGTCTACAAAAGAGAAGATTGGAAGAAGACATGATCGCTGTCTTTGAGCATTTAAAGGGATACGATGAGGCAGAGGGAATCCATACTTTTCATGCTATGACACGAATGGCTTAGAATATGGTCCCCTGCAGGAAGGCAGATTTCACATCAGTAAAGCTAGGCAGCAACGATGCTTGGGCACAGCCCAGCTCCCTCACCAGGTGCAGCACTTCCTGACACTGCGTCTCTTACAGACAGATCGCCAGCTCTGGAAATCTCAAAGAGAAATGCTTGTTCCAAGGGGGAGGTTGGTTGGACCAATGTCCTCTGTTGTGTTCACTTCTAAGACGCCAGGCACTTTTAACAAAGGACTCAGCCTTTGGACTCCCGAGGAAATCCTGAGACCAGCATCTCTAGAATAAAATCCGAAAATAATCATCATAATTCCCATTAGCTGTAAACTGCCACGCTTACTTGCTTAGAGAAGACGGCTCTTGACTATTTCCTCCTTGTCTGAAGTTTGCTAGGCTGTTGTAACAAAGAGCCATAGACTGGTGGCTTACACAGTAGAAATGTGTGATTTCCTGCTGGAACTTCAAGGTCAAGTTGTCAGCTGAGTTGCTTCAGCCTGAAACCTCTCTCCCTATAGGTGGCTCCTTTCTCCCTGTCTTCAAAGGAACTTACTCAACTGCCTATCAGTGTGTCTTAGGACACAGCCATTGGCTGAAGGCCTTCCCCAATGACGTCATTTAACCTTTATTACCTTGTTCAGATCTGTTCCTCAGGACATTTATCCCAAGACCCCTTACACACCAAAATCCTTAGATGCAAAGTCCTGTACATAGCATGCAAGTTATCTGGATAAAAGGGATGTACTTTTAATCATCTTTCACTTGCTTATTAGACCTGACAATGTCAATACTATATTAATAGTCATTATCCTGTGAATATGGAAAATAATGACCAGACATTATTCAGCATTATGTTCTGCACAGAGACATTTCTTCATTTCTTGCTGGGGGCGTAGCTTAGTCATAGTCCCTCTGGAATTAAAAAAAAGAAAGAAAAACATTAAATATTTTATTTATTTTTGGGTCTATGCTGAGACTTGAACTCAGGGCCCGGGATGCTTCCCTTCACTTTTTCACTTAAAGATGGTGCTCTCCCACTTGAGCCACAGCTCTACTTTCTGGCCTTTTTTTTTTTTTTTTTTTGGAGGGGGGCGTTTATTGAAGAGTCCTCATGGACTTTCCTGGCCCAGAGCTGGCTTTGAACCACCATCTTGAGATCTCCACCTCTAAAGTAGTTTGGATTACAGGAGTGCGCTTCCGGTGTCCAGCTTTTCTGTTTGTCTTGTCTCCTTTTAACGATTCTCAGGGACATTTTTCCTTGCAGCCACTGGTTGAACCAAGAGGTAACAGAACCCACGGCGCATTCCGAGGCGGTGCTGGGGAGATTCGAACTTCCAGCCAGGGGAGGGGGTGGTGGGGATAGTACGCACGTTTGGCACGCTCGGCTGAGTCCTGACCCTGTCCTGTCTCCCTCGCCCTCCCTGTAGGTGAGCGACCCTTTCCCTGCACGTGGCCAGACTGCCTTAAAAAGTTCTCGCGTTCGGATGAGCTGACCCGCCACTACCGGACCCACACCGGGGAGAAGCAGTTCCGCTGCCCGCTGTGCGAAAAGCGCTTCATGCGCAGTGACCACCTCACCAAGCATGCCCGGCGGCACACCGAGTTCCACCCCAGCATGATCAAGCGGTCGAAAAAGGCCCTGGCCAGCCCTTTGTGAGGTGCTACCCGCCGCCAGCCAGGGAGGGATTGGACCCCAGAAGGACAAAACGACACCCAGGAAACGAGATGGACACCATGGACACCCAGCCCCAGCAGAGGCGCGCCCACCCACAGTGGACATTCTCTGCCCTCTGGTCAATGATTTCTGATTTTTTCTTCTCCTCCAACCTCCCCCTTCCCCCCACTACATTGTCTGGTTTTAAAGAAGCACATGGTAGCCTGAGATCAAAGTCCACACGTGCTCCCCATTGCGGACAGCAGCCCCGAACCCCAGCTTTGACTGTGGGAAGGTGGGCAAATGCTTTGGGGGAGGGGGTGTAATGTGTTTTGTTTTTTTTTCTCCCTTCACTTCCTTTGTTTTCTTTTTGGGGTGGAGGGGAGTCGGGGGGAGAGAGGAACAAGGCCAAGACTGGGGTAGAATGTTTGTAGAGATTCACACTGGTGTACATAGGTCCGGCTGGGTGAGTTGATCTGTGGCAGTCACAGACATTCTGGACCCTTTCTGCTTGCTGTCTCTCAGAATTGTTTTCTTCCTTTTTAATGTAATGATGAGTGTGCTTCCGTTTGTTTTTAGCAAAAAACCACTCTCTTGAATCACGTTAACTTTTTGAGATTAAAACACACACACACACAAAAAAAAAAAAACAACAAAAAAAATTATCCATGAGAACAACTCCATAGCACAGCTGTCTTTATGCAAGCAAGAGCACACCTCTTTCCAGCATGGTCTGTCATCTAAAGACTTGAAAAACAAACCAAGTTACTTCCAGTCAATGGGTAAGCAGAGTCTGATTTTGTACTAATCAAGGCAAACCTGCAAAGGGTTAGGCTAAGAACGGAACTTACACACCTTGCTTTGTATGAATCTTGAACATAATCTGCACTTTTCTTTTCTAATGCAGAGGATACATTCAGTTAAATACATGTGTTGAGGCTAGAAGCAGACAGTTCTGTTTTGGCATCATGTTCTGATCTGCTTCTTGTACATGTTTCTCTAAGAAACCATGGCAGAGACGTGAGGGCAGAATACACACCACACAAGCTGAGGGAAGAGGGTGGGTAGCGTTTTTTTCAAAATACAAAGTACACTTTTAACTCTATGAACTCGTCTGGTTATCATCATCTTCTACCACGATACCACTAAGAGAGAGAGAGAGAACTTCCAACCCTGTCCGGTGTTAACTGAATGGGTGCAGAACACTGACCAGGCTTGGAAACACCTGATTCTTTTTTGTTGTTGTTTTGTTGTTGTTGTTGTTGTTGTTATTGTTTGGAGTGAGGAGGAGTGCTAGTCTATTTCCTTCTCATTTTCCTATAAAACTTCCACTGTCAGGTATAAGAGTTATAGCCAAGGAAAGGGAGCTGAAATATGAAAAAAAAAAAACTTTTTTTAAAAAAAGGTGCCCCTAGAAGCAAAGGGAAAATACCACAGTGATTTCAGAGGCGACGGCAAAGTGACTGTAGGCAAATGAAATCACACCCCCATCAAATAACCTCGCCACCGCAGGGTGCATCTAGGTGTCCACAGAGGCCTGAACCACTACATCCATCCATACTACGCCCTTTACCAAGAACTTCATTTTGGCCTTGACATGCCAGAAAAACCAACTTGAGTGTTCACAGTTTGAAACAATCCTTACAGCAAATAAAAGAGAAAGAAGAAAAAGAAAGAAAGGAAAAAACCACCTCAAATACAGGGAGTCAGCAGTGATCATGGGGAAAATGTTTACATTTTTTTTTTCTTCTTCAGAAATAAGACTTTCTGGCGATCCAAACAGGGAGCTAATGGTGCATTCTAGTAGACCCATGTGCTCACAAATACGTTATGTAATTGCAAGGTGCTCCCTGTCCATGAGCTCCATTCTTTCATCCAACACATGCTTCACCTAGAACCAGGGGCTCCTATAGGGCAAGTCACAGCGGTCTCCGACTTCCATCCAATACAACAGCCATTGCTAGCACGGTGTTTTTCTTTTCTTTTTCTCTTTCTTTTTGTTTAATCGATGTAGTTCTATTAGTAGTTCTAACAAGAGAACTCCTTTTAACATGAGGATCTGGGAGCAGTCCATGGGCTTAAAAAAAAAAAACAAAAAAGAAAAAAAAAAAGGAAAGTGTTTTCTCACGAGAAAACATGTCAGGAAAAATAAAGAACACTTTCTACCTCTGTTTCAGATTTTTGAAACGCTTATTTTAAACCAAATTTTAATTTCTGTGTCCAAAATAAGTTTTAAGGACATCTGTTCTTCCATACGAAATAGGTTAGGCTGCCTATTTCTGAGCTCACGGAAAGGCTGTGCTTCGGATACTCTGCATGCTGCCTTTTTCCGGAAGTGAGGAGTTTGGGGTTGCCTAGCAACTTGCTAACTTGTTAAAAAAAAAAAAAAAAACAAGAAAAAGATAAAAACAAAACAAGAAAAAATAAAAACCAACCCAACAACTTCAGCTTTCCCCTCACAGAAAGAAAGGAAGAAAAACAAAGTCAAGTCAGTGAAAGACAATCGTTACTGTTTCAGGAGTAAATCTATCCGTGGCTTTTGTCAAGCACTTAAACAGCAACTTGTTTTAAGAGAAAAAAAAAAATGCACAATTTACTTCCCAAAAGAGTTGCTACTTGCCTTTTCCAGCTGTTGACAGACATTTGATATTCTCTTATATGTTAGAGTAACGTAATGTATCAACTCAAGGCTTTTTATTCTTTGTGATAAATCCTGTTTTACAATATCACAAAACAGGAACCAGCATTCTAATTAGATTTACTATGTCTCAATATGGTTCAAGTAGAACTACTAGAGTTCGTTGAACACTAAAACTATGAAACGATTACTTTTTATATTAAAAAGACCATGGATTTAACTTACGAAAAATCCAAATGCAGGATAGTAATTTTTGTTTACTTTTTTAACCAAACTGAATTTTTGAAAGACTATCGCAGGTGTTTAAAAAAAAAAAAGAGAGAAAAGTTGTTTTATCTAATACTGTAAGTAGTTGCCATTTATGGGGGAAAAATGTAATAGTTTTAGAGTTAAGATATCTCCTCTCCTTGGTTTGGAAGAAGAAAGCCCTTCCCCACTGTGGAATTCGCCCTGGCTTTTTACGCTCCACACCATGCTTCTTTTGAGAATTATCTTAGGTAGCTGTAATGACAGAAATCAATTAGTTTGTCAGTTTGCAAATAGGCTTAGTACAGTACTCATCACTCTGGGTAGACTGAGATGTTCTTTCACAACCGATAAATGGTCTGTAACACTGTAAGATACCAATCTTTACAACTCTTTAATCAGTTTTATTTTTGTACAGTATATTAGTGACCTAAGTTATTTTGCTGTCCTGTTTTTGTAAATCAAATGAAATTATAAGAGGATTCTGACAGTAGGTATTTTGTACATATGTATATATGTTGTCCAAATAAAAATAATAAATGATAAAGACTGAATTGCTGCAGCGGTTGCGTGTTCTAAAGGGGGCAGTGGCTTTATGAATTTATCTTCACAGACTTTTAGGATGAGGGCAGAGGTAGTTTTCACCTGTACCTTTCAACATACTCATGACTACTTTTTCCAAACTTGGGTTTGGAAGGGTGGAATGGAGCCGTTGGGAGTCGCTGAATTATAAGGTCTGGAGGTCTGGCTGAAGGGAAATCACTGTATTATGACTAGAAGGGAATTATTTGTGGGTTTGCCAGGACTAGGACTTGAACTCAGGACTTGGGTGATGTCCCTGAAAATTTTTGATCAAGGATAGTGCTCTACCACTTGAGCCACAACTCTCCTTCTGACTTTTTGGAAGTTTATTAGAGATAAGAGTCTCATCGAAACTTCAATCCTCAAGTCTCAGCCTTCTAAGTAGCTAGGATTTACAGGTGTGAACCTCCAGTGCCCAAGTGTTTCTAGTGATGCAAGTTTATTTGGAACCTATGGACTCGAAACAAGGGTGACCATTTTCACCTTCTTGTTTCTTATGCTCAGACACAGAAAAAGTATTCTGCTTCCTACTACAAAGGCAATGCTGGCAATAGGGACAGCCAGATCCCTTGGGTAAAGCCCTGTACAAAGATCTTTTTTTTTTTTTTTTTCTTTCTCCTTTCTTTTCCTTTGGTAATTGGTATATGGGTAGAGACTCTTAGCAACTTGGCCAGATTTGGCTGCATAGGTTTACTCTGAGCTTAAACTGTTGGAAGGCAAATCTAGTATAGTATCCATGCTGGTATACTTTTTCTCTAAAAGTAAAAAAAAATCTGTGTTGATTGCAACTAACACTAAACAAACAACACAAGCACAATACAAGCACAAGCCAGAAAAAGCCACAGCCATTTAAGTACAAGTAGTCCCTTCGTATGTCTGAATGATGATAATCCACACGAATTTGCTTATTTTAAGACGTAAATTGCTGCTCTTGGGTTGTGTCAGGAGAGCAAAGAGCATGCAGGTTTTCTTCTGAAGCCAGCTCTAAACAATCACATTTTCACAGCAGTACAGCAGGCTTGTTTAATCCTAGAAAGAGCCTGAGGGTCTTACATCTCTTTTGCATTTTTCCTAGCTGTGAACCCCAGTCCCCCAAGTTGCAGCCTTTCCCCATTTTCCAGAAGCAGGATGTCAGCCCTATCTACCTCACTTTACCCCCTGCATTTCTGGTCTGTTGGTTTCTTTCCCAAACATGCTCACAGTTATACCCTGGTTTAGACTGCACTCTTTACTTTTTTGCATTAATTAAATATACATTTGACAGACCGGAAGAGTTCTAAAATAGACAGGGGTCTCCCCCGAGAGGAAGTGCTAAATTGTTTATAGTTCCTTCAAGCATTTAAATTTTTTTTCTAGTATGTATTCAGTAATTTCATTATGTCATGTTTATGCTGTCCAAGATTTTAACCACTGTCCCCATTTTGAAAGGAGCAAGGGTAATGCATTTTAAATTGACTGATTTCTCCATCTTTGTGAGTTCCAATCAGTACTGGTGTACAATCTATTGTCATTTAAGTACCTCTGACAGTGTCTGAGCATGTTTTTCCCCCCTGTAGATATTATATAGTAACATTTTAACAGCTTACAACAACGCTCTGCATTTCTGTATTGGTCTTAGATAATCAGGTTTTGGTTTTCATTTTGATATCTCAAAAAGATCATTTTTGGTCACCACCATCTATTGAAATTCTAATTGGTCTCCAAGGATTTCACCTAAACAAAAATCCAATGTTCACTAGGCATTTCAGTGATGTTAATTTTTACTATTGAAATTGATCATTGGTATTTGTTTCTCTTTAGGATCATATGAAGCAGTGCCTCAGTATTTAAATATTTTCTCTTTCTTTCTTTCTTTTTCTTGTTTGGGAGGGGGAGTCCAGTCATGGGGCCTGAACTCTGGGCCTGGGCACTGTCCCTCAGCTCTTCAACTCAAGGCTAGGGCTTTACCACTTGAGCCACAGTGCCACTTCCGGCTTTTTTCTTTTTGCTTATGTGGTGCTGAGGAATCGCACCCAGGACTTCATGCATGCAAGGCAAGCGCTCTACCATTGAGCCACCTTCCCAGCTCATATTTTCTGTTTTAAACTGTCCTCTGGCATCAGTGTCTGAAATTTTGCATGCACGCGCGCACGCACACACACACACACACACACACACACACACACACACACACATCTGAGAATAAGATACAGTCTCAACCTTACTTTTGTTTTGTTGTGTGCCAGTCCTGGGGCTTGAACTCAGGGCCTAGGCACTGTTCCTAAGCTTTTTCTTTTGCTCAAAGCTATCACTCTACCACTTGAGCCACAGTGTCACTTCTGGCTTTTTCTGTTTATGTGGTACTGAGGAATTGAACCCAGGGATTCATGTATACTAGGCAAGCACTTTACCACTAAGCCACATTCTCAGCCAGAGTTCCTAATTTTTTGCAGACCAGGAGATGGAGGTAAGGAAAGAAGGGAGTAGTTAGAGATTGACTAAATTGTAAATTTTAAATTTTAATAACATACATTTTTATATTTTGTTATATAATATTATTTATACATTTATATATTTATATTATATTTATGCTATATAGTATTCATATATTTATATTTTCTCTATATATTTTACAAATAAATTATAACATAAAACTTTTAAGGGAAAACTTTACACTCACAAGAAATGAAGAACAAAGGTCAAAGGATTCTATGCATTTACTTAGATGATGGACACTGATATTAAATATGGAAGGTTGATTCAGCCTTTTCCTTATTTTTAACTGGCATTTATATATGTTATATAATATATATAATACATATTTATGTAATATAGCATGTGTAATATGGTATATAATATATTAATATGTATTACATTTTGGTTAAATTTAAGTTATATATAACAAATATACATAAATGTATATATATATATCATCGAATATGATGCTTTAAAATATGTATACTTTGTAGAATGGCAAACATTCGCTCAATTAGGTGGTGAGAGTTGGAAACTGCAATAAAGAAGAAGAGAGCACCACACAGAAGGAAGAACTCAGACTTGGAACCACAGTGAGCCCTGAAGCCATTTGTTTTGAAATGTTGGGTTAAGCTGTGCTGGAATCCAAGCCTTACCTGGTCACTTCTCAGTTAGAACTGTAATGAGCTTCATCTAGTTTAACTTAATCAAGAATTCTGCCACTGCTACAATGCTGGTGAGAAAATACTGTAATAGACACACAGCAACAAAATGATCACTTCACATTTTTATATTTTATAAGCCAGATATGGCCAGGTGTGGTGGTACACACTTTTAATCCCAGCACTTAGTTCAGGATTTTTTTTTTCTTTTTTTTCTTGCCATTTGGGGCTTGAACTCTGGGCCTGGGCGCTGTCCCTCAGCTCTTCAGCTCATGGCTAGCGCTCTATCACTTGAGCCACAGCACCACTTCCGGTTTTTTTCTGTTTAGTGGTGCTGAGGAATCTAACCCAGAGCCTCATGCATGCAAGGCAAGCACTCTACTACTGAGCCACCTTCCCAGCCCCCTATCCCAGCACTTAGGAGAAGAATCTCCAATGAGAGGCCAGCCTGGGCTAGCTAGCTAGATCCTGTCTCACAAAATCAAAACCAACAGTATTGAAATGGGTTTTCTGACCAGTTTCCCAGAATGCAACGTGGGATGGAGGACTTTGAAGGTGATTTTAATGCACTGAAGATCTCCCCTTTATGGATCCTCAATGTAGTTAACTTATTTACGCTCATTCTGCTGCTTAAGCAGTATTTCCATTGTTTAATTCACATACTGATAACATCTGTTCACTCCAGAGCAATTTCCAAATTAAAAAAAATTTTTTTTGGTAATCACTTTGTTCTTTAAGTTACTTACACATTTCTTCAGAGAAATGATCTGCGAACCTTTGTAGATTCTGCTATTTTCCTCATTCATTTAGGCAACCTTTAATATCTTCAAAAAGAAAACCCCGAAAAAGAAACAGAGGCAATGCGTTTAATAAGACAATCAATTATGGCATTTTCCTGGGGGTGGGGGTGGGAAGCCCAAACCCTTTTTTGAACATCAGATTCAAAAGCATTGTCTAGATTACTTCTCATTCATTTTCTCTAGAGAAGAGGCTGGATAGGACCTAAATATGTACCACAGAGGCTGTTGAATTATGACAAATTTAGACAATGAAAACTGCAATGGGAAAGAATGAGGCAGAAGATATGAGTGACAGGAAACAGGTTGTTGGATCAACTACTTTCGAAGCACATTCTGAATGCAAGATCCTGTCATAGCGAAGGACACAGATAGGAGGAACACAGTGCAGACCCGGCTTCTGATTCTATTTCTATTGGTGAAGCTTTTAAAGAGTATATTTTTATTTTTTTAATTTAATTTTATTGTCAAGGTGATGTACAGAGGGGTTACAGTTACATAGTAAGGTAGAGTGTTACCCCTTCGTTGTTAGAGTATTTTTTAAATAAAGAAAAGTGCACATATATAAGTATGATAAAGCATAATTTAAAATGTCTACCATTCCACCCATGTTTGCTTTGGAAATTTCTGGAAGTCTACCTGCAACAGTGATAAAAAATAATTGTCTCTGAGAAAGGGAAGGCATTAGAGACAAGAGGGAAATTTCCCTCTTGGCCTTTTGTGTAGTGTTCGTATATTTTATCTCCATACATATTTTCTAGTGAAAATGCATTAGTTTTGAAACAAGCAAAATAAGCAGTATTTATCACCTGTCTGCTAAATTAGAAGAGCATTGTTTGTCAAGAAATAAAAATCATTGCTGGCTGAGAAGCTGCAAAACTATGCGTGGAAATAGTCATTTCCCACTGAGTCTGTTGGATTCTGCACAGCATATAACTAGTTTTCCACAGGACTTGTACTAGAGAAAGAGGTAACCCAAACCAGATAGGTATCAAGAAAGGGGGACTGTCATAATATTAATACTATTAAAGAAGTCCAAATACAAACAGGATGGATTGT